GATGCATCTTCTGTTTTTTCATAGGTATTAAACCCTGTACTGTTTAGCCATAGTGCAATTGCATGTAAAATTGGGGTCCATGAATTCCGATAATGTAGTCTAGCTGTATCAATAGTCTCAGGAGTGTAAAATGCTCCACCTGTTAAATAATCATAATGCATTTTTAATAAGAGATAGAGACAATAACAATTATATTACCATTTTAATACATGTTTGTAATATATCCCACAAGACACAGAAACACTTGATCTCTCTCTTGTCTGGAATTCGAAGATAAACAGAGCTGGACCTCCTTGGTTCTTGGAATGGGAGATAATTATGAATATCAGGCTTGTAAGCTAACAGGAGCTATCAAAAATATACCCTGGAAGGCAGCAGTGGGAAATCACTACAGTATCACACTGTTCTCAAGAAATCTACACAGTTTTGTTGACATAGTAAAATAGGAGCAAAGCCAAAGTCAAGGGAATCTTTACAATATAGGTACCCCCCCCCGCGTGGTTCACATATCCATTTTAGATAATGAGAGATTTCAGCATATGTGTAAATATTTTCATTGAGTCAGTCCAATCACAAAGTTCCGAACAGCTTTTGTGTGGCAGCTTTCTCCTCAAAAGTATCTTGCTTGATTGGTAATGAAGTGACTTACCTTTTCATACCACATGGCTCATGCTGACTTGTGTAGTTCTGTCACAATCTAAATCCATTATTGGAAGCTCGCTTTCCAATTTCCTCAAGATGATCGAGGGCAGTACTAGAGTCCAACAGTGTTAACTGTGAGCCATCTACAAAAGGTACTAGCATCCAGTGGAGTCTGGATTGTGGTCTGCAGACTGATGACGCCAAACTCTCAATTGCAACAGTGGAAGGCTGTTCACTGACCTCTCAAGCTTGCTCTGACTGCTGAGTGGTCTGCAAGCAGCCAGCAGCAGAATCAAGCAGACCCTTTACAGATATTGTGAAAGACCAATTTGGAATGAAGAAGTTGGGATGAGCCATGTGAGGCACAAAAAAGGCTCAATGAGCTGTCCCAAAGAAAAAGGCCAAGCACCACAAAAAAGTCATATGAAGCCCCACAACCTAGCAAGCTCCACTTTGACTAAGCAAGGAAGAAGAGAAGCAAATACACTACAAGTACATTATGAAAACAAGTGTTGTGGGAGGAAGTCTTGTGGGAAGCAGTGGATGATCAAAGGCTCCAATTAAGTAATGGCTTGATAACCATTTATCCATCCTTTACACTGGAACAGAGCTTTTATAAATATAAGCGTTTTTGATAGCTAATAATACATCTGTGCACATTAGTGATATAACACACATATCTGTAGCTTATATAAAGACAGAATTCATGACATGGCTGCTTAATATGATTCCAGTACACCATACTGATTGTCAAATTATCAGAAAAGTTGAACTACTGGTATCACTTATGTATACCAAACTGGTTCATGCATGAGGACTTGAAGATTAAGGCATGATTGAAAGCACTGTATTTAAAAGGGAGATGATATAAAAATACTGCTGATACATGCAAGGGCTAAGTAATTAACTTATAAATGTCAGGTTTTTTAAAAATCAAGGATCAGGGTGATTTTTTTTTTTTTGCTACACCTTCCCTCGCTGCCCAAGTGCTTTTGACCAAAAGTAATTGTATCCTTGTACTTTTGCAATATTCTGTCATGTCAGAAATGGCAGCAGAGCAAATGAATTGATAATCATCCTAATGTCTGCTTTTTACCTTTGTAAGTGGTTTCTGAATAAAATTTATGCCTTACCGTCTGGAGGAAGCTGACTTGCAAATTCAGCTGGTAATGTCAAAAGGGCATAGTCTTTAAGCGCAGCTAACCAGAGACGGCTAAGAGTGGGCAGCTCTGGTTGAACAAGGGTTATTAGACTATCTGGTGGCAGTTCATCTACTGCGCCATAATCGTCGTCGTCATCCCCTCCATTTTTTGCTGCTTTCTTTGGTTTGGTCTCTGCTTCTTTTTTAATCTTCATAGCCACAACATACACCTTTAGATAAAGCGCATACAACATATTACTAAGTGTGTGGAGAATATAAAATATGTCTTACATGTCATTAAACATGCTGAACTCTGATTGCTTTAAAAACTTAAAAAAGAGAATTTAGGTAGTGATTTAATTAATTTTACTAGTACCATTATATATATTGTAAAGAAAGTGTCTAAATACTATTGAATAACAGGAAAATTTTAGTAATTACATTTTTCATCAAATTACAAGTCCTCTGATATTCATTCTCACCACAATCAAGAAAATAGCTCTTTATTTTCTTGACTGTTTTGCATTCAGAGAGACTGAGATAAGAATGTTGCCTAAGATCAGCCAGCAAGTCTGTACCTGCAATGCATTTCATTTAAAAACTTTGCATACCATATCATGTTAGTTCCCAGTTACTGTGCTTTATGTGTGCATTAAATTTAGTGCAAGAAATGAAAACTCTTAGGAAATGATCCTAATTTACACTGGCTTAAAGCACTATAGCAGTATTTTTCAATTTAATTTAAAGGCTCAGTAACCATGAGGTTAAAAAAAAACTTTAAAAACAGATGTATTAGAAATTTTAAATGAAAACGTATAAGAGAAAATCCTAAGAGAGCTTTGGATTTTGGATATTATACCATAACACACATTATATTAAAAAAAGCAGGACTCTCCCCTGCCACCGCTGTCTTTTTTTCTTAATTCTCACAATCTCCAAAGGGGATAAAATTTTAAAGGATCATCATTAAGATAAACTAAATTCAAACCTAAATGTACAGCAGACTGGAAATTTACAGAACCAGAATGAATTGAAAAATATCAGTAACCAATTCTTCATTACAGTCTCTATAAAACATGCAGTACAGGCGATTAGCATGTTAATATAATCTGGAGAAGTGAAATGTGTAACGCAGGATATAGGGTAGCTTTGTCAGAAGCTATGTGCCCGATGAATAGTGCCTGAGGAACATGGGTGATTTCAATCAGAAGGGGGAGTGTAGATCTCAAAACAACATTACACTTTTCCATAACATTTAAGATCTACTGTCCTCATCAAATGACTCTGAACAGTCATTTGTTAGATCATACTAAAGCCTGGCAGTGGCTGAGGGTCATTTAGCAAAATGTTAGAAATAAAATAAAATACTTTTCCTACAATTAAATTATGAAAGTAACTATCTTATAGAGGTTATAAGTTTTAAGAATGCCATATAGTCCAATCAGGATTGAGAATTTGGGAGGGACTGCTCAATAGGGTCTCAAAAACATGACACAAATTCAGACCCATCTTTGGGGGGGAAACCTCTGCATAAACAAAAATCTTGTCCTTATGAAAGATCAAATAGGGCCCATCTGAATGAAGGACATAAGCGAAATGTTATGCTAAGCTATGCCATGCCACGGCAGAAAATGAAAAAGGCATATTCTGGAGACTAACAAGCAACACCAACATGGATAATACTGGATAGAATTTTTAAGGAGAGGACATACACTATGGAGAAACAAATTTGGTAAAACTTTTTCAAAATTGTTTTATAATTGGGTGAAGAAAAATCAGTAAAGCCATCCATTAGGGCTACTGAGATTGCCACAGAATTGATCCTTGGCTGAAAGATCATAAATCTGAAAGTAGTTATGTCTAAATGCTCAGTCAAATTGTGTTGGGAGACAAATATTTTCCTGGGTAGCAGTTTATCTATTTGTATTTTTTATTTTATTTATTTATTTATTTTTTAGATTTATATCCCGCCCTTCTCCTTGCGGACTCAGGGCGGCTAACAACCGGGTAAAAATACAAAAATATCACACTACAAATTTAAAAATTAATTAAAAGGGAAATATTAGTAATTTGGTCTAATTAAAATTATAATTAAAACCCCCTCTAAAAGTTTCCCCTAGGCCAGTCC